GGCTTGTTTAGTTAACACTCGAAGGTGATTGGGCTCTCGGGCGAGATCCCAATTCGTCAGTCACTGACGTAACGTCTCCGTTCCCTCCTTCAGGGAACGAGGGTTACACAAGTAACCTAGACGTTTTATAAATGTACATTGATGTTTAAAAAAAACTTTTTTTAAGATTTATGATGTTAATTTCTGTGGAAATGCATTCTCACTGTGATAAGGGTCCATTAGCGTACTGTAAATGTGATCCAGACCCTGGACTGGTTAGATCTGGACCTTGAATCATATTTTATATAGTGTGTGTGTGTGTGTGTGTGTGTGTGTGTGTGTGTGTGTGTGTGTGTGTGTGTTTCTGCACATTTAACAACCAAAGCCCAAAGTATGAAAATCCTAGAATTTCTTTTCCTGAAATGCTTATTGCTTTTTTAATTTCATCTTTGAACAACATATGGGCTCCTGAAAAGATTGTTCTAAGCTTTGCTAGTAGAGAAATTCAGAGGCTCAACCTTGTGGAAGTTGAATTCAATACCCATGAGCTAAATGAGAAGGAGAGCTCCAGGATGGAACCTGATTGGCAGCAGGTCCACCCATAAATTTTTATCATAGTACCCAAAAACCAAGGAAATCTACTTGAACGTATGGTCCTTTCATTTTGTGTCCTCCATTCTAGAGAGACGACTATGGTAAACCCATAAAACGGCCATAAAGCAATGTCCGTCTTTCCTCGTCCACTCCGGTCACTCTCAGATATTTCTCAATTTCTCTGACCTCAAGGACACTATGTCTCTCTCAGCTGTCACCTGGAGTCTCACTGGCCCTTGGACTCCATCTCCTCCTTTCATTCCATTTTTACAGGCCTCATTGATATGCTCCACAGCAGCTCGGCTGCATCTGTCTACATTCTCCACCATGTGCTCTACAGCAGGTTTGTGACCCCTTGACATTTCGCCCATTTAACTGAAACACAGCTATTCAGGAGCCTGTACATGAGCTTAAAGTGTCTGGATGTGGATATATAAATGCAAACGAGTCAATTTAAAGAACTTGCAATTGGATCCTTTTTCTTTAGCAAATTCATTTGCATTAATTGCTACATCCAGTACAGGAATCTGTAGAGGCTAAGGTTAAAAAAAGCCTCATTATGTCTCTCAGCACATGCAAAACATCAGTATCTTGTTTACCAAAAAAACATCCCTAAAACTGGAGACATTTACTGCCATAACATAATAACATCTCTTATATTAAGTTTATATTTCTTAGTACATTGACAAATAGTGTTTATTTGTTGTGTGCATATATCTAACTACTGTATATTTAGTGAGGTTTTCGCCTAAAATTAGAAAGCATTTTGCCACCGGCATAAGAAAAATACACTTACATCAAAATGCATCCAATAAAACAAGCATTACATTACGCTTCTCGAGTAAATCATCCTGATGTTTAGATAATATTTTTGTCTTGTTCTCCAGTAAAAAATTATACAGAAAAGGATTTTTTGCAGCGAGTGCATATCGGCTGAGACGCACTGTTTAAAAGAGCCATTGCATGGCGCAATTGATTTGTCTGAGCTTTAGGGGAAACATGACGATGCCGCTGACAGAACTCAGATTCACTGCACCCAGGTGTCCTGGCTCTAAGTCGTCCTTTTTTTCAAATCAAAGCTCTGAGCCTTGCTCTTGTGAAGTGTGGAGAAATCTGCAGATGGAGGATTTAAAAGGTTTGCCGCTGACTGTCTTTGGTTTTCCGGCGCTGTGAGGTGTCATGAAAGATTTCTCCGCGTTTGTAGAAGCATGTTGCGATAACCTTTACGTGATTGCCTCTGTTTGTTTGCTCACACTGAGGAATGGGCATAAATAGGCATCTCTATCATTGTGGATTTCCGTGAAGTTGGCGCCGCTGGTTGATGTAAATTGAGGAACCAGTGATGGTCCTGCATATTGACTTCATCTTTGATGGTACATGACTTTGTGCCTGTGCTGGGTAGCGTTACAGCGAACTGGTACCTTTTCTAACTGTGCCTCTTTCATGTCTGCCTGCAGGTGATGTGGCCCCATACTTCAAAACGGAGCCGGGACCTCCAGAGATCCACCTAGAAGGGAACCGTCTGGTCATGACCTGCCTGGCGGAGGGCAGCTGGCCTCTGGAGTTCAAATGGATACTCAACAACACAGATATCACAGCCTTCTCCCCCGAGTACAAGTGAGTGTCAGCTTTCATCTGAAGGCTTTCTGGAGATAAAGTCCTGCTCAGAACTGTCTCAAGGTTACAATGAGAGAGAACAGCTGAGGCTCACGGTTAATATGAGAGACAAAAAGTCTAATATTAATCCGGCCTGCAGCTTTTCTTCTGTACAACCCGCACATTTATTCACTGTCTGTGGCAGGTATATTACATTTGTTCAAAACATGACCATTAACCCTTAGAACAATATCCTTATCCTGCTGTTGTCATTTATGAATCCGTTTAAAGAATCTTTCTCATTACTTAAATAATGTGTCGTTTTTAATGAAAGCAGTTTGGAATTTAAAGGACATATTAAAAAATACTGCACATTTTTTATATAAAAAAAAGTGTTAATCCTCTCAAAATATGAAGCTTGTGTTTTTGTTAAGGCACTCACTTACTTTCATCTGTACAGAGGTTGTTATGCAACTCTATTATTTTTCTCAAAACTAACAGATTTAGAGTCTTTTTTCTTTCTGTCAAATGAAGGTCACATTAAAACTGGCTTGGACACTTTAATCTGGCATTCATTTATTTTTGATAAATGCCTGTTATAGATTTTATTGTATTACAATATAAAATATGAAAATAACAATTTTAATTGTGAAGATCTACTGTAAACAAGAGTCAAATCATGAGTCAAGTCAATGTGGAAAACAAAGTAATGGTAAATAGGCTATAATTTGTGAATGGAATATGTTATAGTGTGATGAAATTTAAATTGTGTTTCACATGTTTATATTAGATCTGTGTATTAAGTAACAGCAGCGTAATATACAGTATACTGCTGTCTACGCTGTTAATATGACCCAAACAATAAAATAAAAACAGAAAATCACTCACTGCTCTGGAATAAATAACTTCTATAGCTGTAATAATAATAAGACTTTTCTTACCTGAATGCATCTTTAAGATGCTCTAGCGTGAAGATGCCCGGCTCACTCAGGGCGGGGTCTCTGCTAATACCACAGTGTCTGTCAACAGTTGTGGGTGGGGCTTGAAAAATGTGACATCACATTGTGCGGATTCTGCAAACGGCTTGTTCTGAGACACTGCTTATGATTTATGGGGATTAAAAAAGTAGCGGTTGGATTATTTATCATTGTAGGGTGGTTGTGTACACGCACTGCCAACACACATTAATGTTCAAACAACATGTAAAAGTGAATTTTGCATAATAGGTGTCCTTTAAATGATTCTTCTTTAAATACATTCTCATGCTAAGTCTGTTAAAGCAGTATTTTAATGTTTATTTTAATGCAATGCCTTCCCCCATAGACTTCCATTGTAATCGGATTACTGTCGACACAATTTTTGTTTGCTTTTACAAACTGAGAGGCAAGTCGACATTATTTTCTTTGACAGATGCTGTCGACGGAGCTTAACTTGTATTGAACCTGGAACGTGCCTTTAATAAAAAAGGAAATTACTTGAAGTGAAGCACATTCAAATAATTTCTAATTAAGTTTTTTTTTCTTTCTAGAGAGAGAGATTCCACTAGTTTATGCAGTAGTACATTTAATCAACGATATAATTTCCTAGTTGAGGTCTCTCCATGCCTTATGTTTAATTTCTCAGTAATGATAGCCTCTTAGCCTGACCTTTTTTAATCAGCGTACAGCCTCTGTAGCACTCAGCATTTCCTCAGACGTGTGGAGTGTTAAGGCTGCTGAAGAATTGGCCCTACGGGTTCCTTCTGTCTTAATAGAAGAGTCTACAGTGCTGCCCGGCTCTCTTTAGAGGCGAATAATGCTTTCATTCGTTACCTGAAGTGCACTGCCGACACCTGATTCACAGTTAATGTCAAATTTTACATTAGATGTTTTGATTTATCTTCCATTTAGGAGCCGTATACATGCTAAAGTAGGTGTTTCGCATCTTTGTGCCTTCCTGTGTCAAGTGTTTCTATGTTTTGTCCATCTGTAGAACTGGTTTGCTCTAATTGGTATTGCTTTTCTCATTATCTTTCTTCACCTAAACAGTGCGCTCAGAGCTGCCGCCGTATTACTATTGCGTTCCTGCAATGGAAGGAAACCACCACTGAGATTCACAAACCCACCGGATGGCATTTTCAGAGGCGTAAACATATTCGGCTAAGTAGTGAGCAACAGCGCATTAGTCATTTATTCAGCATATTCGGAAATGTCAACCGATTTTAATACCCCAGCGTTCGCCACCTCTGCTTTTGGTCGAAGTGGCCTTTTGGCTGAAATCTGATGTTCGTCATCATAGCTAGGCATGGAGAGGAGTTCCTGTGTGGCGTTTTGATGTGCTCTGTTCACGCTAATGTGCAAGCTGGCGAAAAAAAAGATAGTCGTGACTGTGAGGGTGAACCTTTTAAACCCCGACCTCTCTAAATGGGAACACATTTGAGTCGAAAATCCTTGAATTTGTTGGCAAATAGCAGGGAACTGTTGTTTTTCCTGCTTTTTTTATCATCCTGGGATGTGAATTAAAGTTGTTGATTCTGTTACTCTCTCTTAGGTACATCATCTCCTCTCTCAAACGCTCCAATATGGGCGTTTATCAGTGTGTGGTGAGAAACAGGATGGGCGCTCTGCTTCAGAGAAGAGCCGAGATACAAGTGGCATGTGAGTTGATCAGATCAGAGCTTTGCATTGTAGTCTGTTCCTGTGCTATGATGTTGTATGACTTCAGACAACTTGTACAGTTCTGGTCAAAATTTTACATACACTTTGCAGTATCTGCAAAATGTTAATAATTTGACCAAAATAAGAGCGATCATACAAAATGCATGTTGTTTTTTATTTAGTGCTGACCTGCATAAGATATTTCCCATGTTTACATGTAGTCCACAGGAGAAAATATTAGTTGAATTTATAAAAATAACACTGTTCAAAAGTTTACATACACTTGATTCTTAATATTGTGTTGTTACCTGGATGATCCACAGCTGTTTTTTTTTTGTTTTTTTATGATAGTTTTTCATGAGTCCCTTGTTTGTCCTGAACAGTTAAACTGCCCGCTGTTCTTCAGAAAAATCCTTTAGGTTATCCAGCATCTTTTAAGTATTTGAACCCTTTCCAACAATGACTTATATCTTTTCTCACTGAGGATGACTGAGGGACTCATACACAACTATTACAAAAGGTTCAAATGGTCACTGATGCTCCGGAAGGAAAAACCATGCATTAAGAGCCTGGAGGTGAAAACTTTTGAATGGAATGAAGACGTGTACATTTTTATTATTTTGCCTATATATCATATTTGTTCATGTAGTACTGCCCCTCAGAAGCTACAGAAGATACTTACATGTTTCCCAGAAGACTAAATATGTTGAATTTACACTGATTCTTACTTGATTAAGAATCACGTTTGGGGTTTGTATTACTACAATTTAAAGTAACTGTTTTCCATTGGAATATATTAGTAAATGTATTCTTGTGATGACAAAGCTGAATTTTCAGCATCATTACTCCAGTCTTCAGTGTCACATGATCCTTCAGAAATATTTTAAATATTGAGTGAAGACATTATATATATAATTTTATGGTGCTTTTGCATCCTTTCTGAAGCTTAAAACTCATCCGTTTTAGTAAATGCATGGGGAAAAGGAAAATACCTGAGTGATACCTCTTAAAAGTTCCCAGTTATGCTTTGAATAAGGCAGGATTTACACTGAATGAAGAAGATGGCTGTGGTAGAAAAGCTGACTTTTTAGGCTTGGTCCTTTACTCTAGCGTTTAAAACATGCTCTAAAGGTTCACACTGACCTAGACTGACTGTTCCAGACACTTCAGCATTTCAGCTCAGAAAAACGTTCAGCCATGATGGAGTTTTCACAAAATAGGCCATGTTCATGCTAGTGACAATATGAGAAATAATTCTTGGAAGATCAACTTAAATGACATCTTTCCTCATTTACCCAAAACAAACCAGCAGACAAGATTGCTTGTTAGGTGAAGTGTGTAATTTCAGCAACATAGACCTTTTAAGGCAAATCAGTTTGCTCCATCTTGTTTGATCCATTAGTTTATAGCACAGTTTATGTTTACATTAGTTTATGCCATGATGTAGTGCTGAACACTTATATTATGTGTTATATGTTTAAAAAATTACAAAATTCCCAGCAGAGTGATCCCATTATAAACATACTATGGGGCTGTTGAATGCTTAAATCTGATTGGTTGACATTCTAAGGTGTGCAATTTTTTTTAGGGAAATGCAGTGCTAAAGTAGTTCCAGGCAGCTTAGACTGCATTACATGTCCACATCACCTCACCAAATGATTTCAGTTATTTTAAAACAGCAAAAGAACCAAAACCCACAACAACACTGACCAAGCAAATATATATAGTAAACCACAAGATAAAAACAACAACTTTCACACAGTTCTAACAGTTTTTTTTCTAAAAATCTGTCAGGTCAGTGCAAGTTTAGGGATATTGTTTACTGGCTGCGGTTGTTTTTGGCTTTTTAAAACCAGAAATAAGAACTTTTAAACACTTTAAATTGATGTGAAAACTGCACCGCTGGAATTGTCACCAAATTCAGTGTGCTAGACGTTCTTTTGTTCTGCATGGTGATGCAATCTTGTGGTGCTGTGCGTCATGAATAAATGTTTGAATAAATGTTTCTGATTGAATACCTCTGCAGTTTGTACCCAATACTGAATGTATCATCAGGGTTGCTTTGTTTCATGAAAAGAAGTTCTCCCATGTTTGTAATAAGATCCCTGACTTTCTTCTCACAGATATGGGTGACTTTCTCGACAATGACCAAAGAAAGACAGTGACACTGGGCCGGGCCGCCATCCTAAACTCCCCAGCAGTCAGTTGCTTCCCGCGGCCACAGGTGACATGGTTCAGGGACGGCTACAAGATCATTCCCAGCAACAGAGTGTAAGTAGAGCTTAATTGCTTGTCTAATCTTTAAACCTGAACGCCTGCTCATTAGGAAGGTTCTGGGTGACCCAGCAAAGGTCTCTTTGGCTTTGGGTTCACGTAAGAGATGTAATTACCTTCAGTGTTCACGCTTATTCCCTCTGGGCATCCATTTACGGTGGCCCACACTGGGAAAAAACAGAGAGACACTTCAGAAAGTGATGCAAAAGACATGGATACTGTGCACGGCTTTCTTTGAGTGTGTGCGTGAGTGTTTTTCTCCCACTGCCTTGTCACAGAAGTGCAATTAATGCCTGTTCTCGGCCCTTCTTTAATCTTGCTAGGGTAGTTCTTCATTGCCTTTTTCTAATTAGCAGCTCTCCCAGGCTGAGATCGACGAGGCTGATCCGATTCGCTGTTATCAGTCAAGTGTCTTTCATTCCGACGAGACCCAAATAAAACTTCACCACTGAGACACATCTAATGACTCACCTTTCACTCCACGCATATAGCGGTGGGCCCATTTGAGAATTGCATTTGATTCTGGCAGAAGGTGTAATTGAAAAGTAAGCAGGCTAACGCAGGTAAATTTAGAAATAGACTCTGGGTAGTAATGATTTGCATTCGTTCCGTTTGGCTTCGGGCTTGGATTGATTTGTTACGTCGACGTTCAGGCAGTTTTATTTTCAATGAAAACACTCAAAGTGAGCTGCAGAACTGTGGTCATGGTTCTGTGATTCTATTTACACCAGGAATTATTATACGTCTTGTTGATCCGATCACGTGTGGACAACCAATCACCATGTGTGATCCAATCAGTCATGCCTCATGAGTTGACAGAAATGCATGGGACCAAATCACATCTGTTGTGTAAATGCTAATCTATCATGAACAGTTTGCCCTGCCCATTGAGGTCAGTAAGAGGTTGTTTTTTTTTTTTGAAAGAAATTAATACTTTTATTTAGCAAGGAAGCATTGAATTTATCAAAAGTGACATTAAAGATATTTATAATGTTGCTAAAAATCAGTTTCAAATAAATGCTGTTCTTTTGAACGTTCTATTCATCAAAAGTATTCTGTTCTATTCCACAACAATATTAAACAGCGTACTGTTTGCACATTGATAATAAATGTTTCTTGAGCAGCGAAACAGCATATGTAACCCTGGACCACAAAACCAGTCATAAGGGTCAATTTTTAGATGTATGGTTTGATAGGATAGGACAATATTTGGCCGAGATACAACTATTTGAAAATCTGGAATCTGAGGGTGAAAAAAAAAATCTAAATATTGAGAAAATCGCCTTTAAAGATCTTAGCAATGCATATTACTAATCAAAAATTAAGTTTTAATATATTTACAGTAGGAAATGTATAAAATGGAACATGATCTTTATCACTTAATATCCTAATGACTTTTGGCATAAAAGAAAAATCTATAATTTTGACCCATACAATGTATTTTTGGCTATTGCTACAAATATACCCCAGTGACTTAAGACTGGTTTTGTGGTCCAGGGTCACATATTAGAATGACTTCTGAAGGATCATGTGACACTGAAGACTGGAGTAATGATGCTGAATATTCAGCTTTGCCACCACAGGAATGAATTACATTTTAAAATATATTACAATCGAAAACAGTTATTTTAAATTGTAGTAATATTTCACAATATTACTGTTTTTACTGTATTTTTGATCAAACAAATGCAGGCTTGGTGAGCATAAGAAACTCCTTTCAAAAACATCTAAAAGCTTTTGAGATATATTCTCATATATAACATAATTTAAATGGCAGACTGATGGTCCCAATATGGTCCCAAAATATAAACCCAATATGGTACAGAAATGAATGGATAAAGAGTCAATCATTTGGTTATTGATTTTGTATTAGCTGGGTGAGCCAGAACTATTTTTTTTTTTTTTTTTTTTTTGCCTGAGCTGGGCTTAAAAAACACAATTTATGATACTCTGGAAATTGCTGCAGAGCTGTTACAAAAATGGCCGGCCAGTGAACTGGCTTGCTTTACAGGAACTTTCTGGAAAGTGAATAACCGTCAACGACTCCCAGACTCCCAGATTTTGAACATATGTAGTTTTACGCATATAACTTGTGTTCCTCTGAAGTAAAAATGTGCATTGGATTGAAAGATTGAAAGAAAGGTTGATATATATATATATATATATATATATATATATATATATATATGGGCTCTTTGTATATGTATTTAAGGCAGTGGGATACACGC